GAATGATTAGCCCAAAGTCACCCAGCTGGCTTTCCTGGCTAAGACAAGACTAGAACTCACAGTCCCCCCAGTTTATAGTCTGATGCCTTAACCACTGGACCAAACTGGCTCTCATATAACAAATCATTTATAAAAGAGGCCAAAGACTTATATCAAACATGGTGCCAGATCAGCAAAGGAAAGAATTAAAACATGGTAGATCCTCTCATTTTTAATAGAAACTATTTTAAAGTGGTTTTTAAATTTAACCTGGAATAAAATATTTCTTCATATTTTAGTACAATTTCTCAATAGATTCTCTTTACTGGAAAAATTAACACTGTTATCCTTCTCTCATCCTTGTTATCTATGCCTTAGAATATGCGTATCATCTTCTTCAGGGTGACTACTGGAAGGGGGAGGAAATACAGTAGTCCTCGATTTACGACCACATTTGAGCCCAAAATTTCTGTTGCTAAGCGAGACAGTTTTAAGTGAGTTTTGCCCCATTTTACTACCTTTTTTGCCACAGTTGATAAGTGAATCACTGCAGTTGTTAAGTTAATAACACGGTTGTTAAGTGAATCTGGCTTCCCCGTTGACTTTGGCTGTCAGAAGGTCGCAAAAGGTGATCACATGACCCGGGGACACTGCAACCGTCATAAATATGAGTCAGTTGCAAAGTGTCTGAATTTTGACCATGGGACCATGGGGATGCTACAGCGGTTGTAAGTGTGAAAAACAGTCATAAATCACTTTTTTCACTGCTATTATAACTTTGAACAATCACTAAACAAACTTGTAATTCAATGACTGCCTACAGTATATTTCAAAAAATTATTATGAGGACATCCTTCAAAAGATTTAGCTGAAAGTTGGCAGAGAAAATAGGAGCCTTCCTTACTCGTCCCATTCTGCCCAAAGGCATTTGGAGAGGCCTCACCTTTTGGAGGACTGTGAAGATCTGGCTCTTTAGCCTGGCTTTGGGCTTGGATAGAAGTGAACTGAGAAAATGTAAGAGCATGGAAAGTCTATGTGACGTTGTGGCACTATGCTTGGGGTATGTGGCACTATGCTTGGGATGCGTGGTTTGACTGACAGATTCTATTTTTATTTAGTATCATTGTGTCCCAAAGGTGCTTTTTCAAGAGGCAACTAGACTTTCTGTTTTTTTTCATTGAAAACATTTCACTTCTCATCCAAGAAGCTTCTTCAGCTAGAGCTTCTTGGATGAGAAGCGAAACATCTTCAAAGAAAAAACGCAAGTCCAGTTGCCTCTTGAAAAAGCACCTTTGGGACAACCATGACCTGAATGACTGAGAATCTCCATAGACATTTAGTATCTTTGTGAGTCCACAAGATTATCTTGTATAAATTAGGCAGCCACATCAATTCCCAAGGAAACAAACAATATCAATTTGATCTGAAAACTATTGCTTTCAAATCTTGAATAAAATATATTTTATAGAATTTCACTGATTGATAATTCCCAATTTCATAGGTGATCCTTTTTTTAGGATCAAACTGTACCAAAGCAATGTGCATGCTTCAAAAATAATTCAGAAGTTCTTTAGACTTCTTCCTGCAAGCAAAACACCTCTTTGCTATCATAAGTAAGTAAGTAAGTAAGTAGGTAAGTAAATAAGAAAAGCTATCATCATTTTTCAGCTTCCTAAAAAAACATTACCAGGACTCTTAAAGCAACATTTTATTGTCAGACTTGCATTAAACCTCATCAGGTGTTTTGCCACATTATTTCTTTGAAATCATTGGCAAAGTGTACAACCTTCCTAGATTATAGTGTAACGGGCTTCTCAGTATGTGGGAAAGAGGTAGTTAGCAAAATATTACAAGTTTGGGAACATCTGTGCATTCCCTTTTCAACAGAAAATTGATAGTCGCATCCATCCCACCGCAAGCAGTTAGTAGGAGAATTAAATAATCTTCCCTCTATAAGTATTTATAAGTAAATAGGGGGCTAAAATAAATGTATCGAGTTACCAAGATTTCAAAAGCAAACCCCCTTGCTCATTTTTTCTTTTCAATTTCTTTGCTTAACAAGACTGAGATCTGCTTTTCTTAGTTGAGAGCAATTGCTAGGACTTGACAATTTTGTTGCCACATAACATGCAATAGGTGGTTTTTTTAATTTATGTCAGGGTGTAGTCCACAATCTGCAGGGTTGAAGACAGAATCCCTTCAGTTGCTGCCAAATTAAATAAATATAAATGAGATTAAATATAATATACTTTCTAATTCCAAAAGGCACTCCTTCGTAGATTTCCTTCAGAACTTGGTTATGTTTCCAGTAGAATAAGACTGTAGGATTCACAGTAGAATGGATGAAGGTTTTTTTCTTATAAACTTCCAGATGGGATATGCTACTGGGGTAAGGTAAAGACAGAAGCATCTACAGCAAGAGTGTCAAACTGGCCTGTGGGTTTGTCACCCAACTGTGGGTGTCAAACCCACAGGCCAGATGCGTCACGCGCAGGCCACGCCCACCCCAGCTTCACAAAGGGGAAAAATGTTGCAAAAGTCACAGCAAGTTTGACACCTGTGATCTACAAGAACATTAAACTAATGCACATTGAGCCCATCTGGCTCTTGGGTCTAGGAGTCAATGCAGGCAATTTGGTAAGGGTTTCTTTGTCTGTGCCTTCGAGTTAATCTTGATTTATGATAACATTAGGTAGTCCTCGATTTACAACAATTCGTTCAAAGTTACAACAGCACTGAAAAAAGTGGCATGACCATTTTTCACACTTAATGACCATTGTAGCATTCCCACGGTGACGTGATCAAAATTCAGACGCTTGGCAATTGACTCATATTTATGACCGTTGCAGCATCCCGGTGTCATGTAGTCACCTTTTTGCAACTTTCTGCCAAGCAAAGTCAATGGGGAAGCCAGATTCACTAAACAACCATGTTACTAACTTAACAACTGCAGTGATTTACTTATCAACTATGACAAGAAAGGGTCATAAAATGGGGCAAATTTCACTTAATAAGTGTGTCACGTAGCAACAGAAATTTTAGGGGTCAATTGAGGCCATAAATCAAGGACTACCTGTACACAGACAGGTTCATGCTGTTTACTTGACAATATTTGTGGAAGTGGTTGGCCATTGCTTTGCTCCTAAGATTGAGAGGGTGGGTGTCTCCCAAAGACATCAAGTTGCTTTAATGTCCAAGTAAGGAATAGAACTCAGGCAACCCAGTTTCGAGCCCAATGCCTTAAACCACTATAGTAGATCAGACAAGCTCTCTGGGGAAGATTTAATACTCCTCAATCTACATATATTCATCTCAATCTATTTTAGAAGGTGAACTGCACATTATGTAATTCGACTCTCTGTCTCTCACTCTGTGAAGCATACAGAAGCAGAGCTTCATTATCTAGCTTTGGCTTGTTCTTGTGTGGCTCCTAACCAACTGATTTCATGTCATAATTTTAGAGGAAGACAACTCAACATCTTTTGGATATTTCAGAAAGTAGAATGTGTGGTATGTATCTCGGGATGACCTCAGATCTCAAGAGACGTTATTAGCAACAAGGACAGGAGGATCACTGTCAGATACAATTAAACTGGTCACAAATAGCAGAACTGTGCAGGAAAATATGGTAATGAAAATTTGATGAATATTCAGAGTTATTTTTAAGAGAGTATTCCAGGAGTAAGAGGTGTGTGTGTGTGTGTGTGTGTGTGTGTGTGTGTGTGTGTGCATGCACACATACACACATCTTACTCCTGGAGTGCTCTTTTAAAAATAACTCTGAATATTTATCATGTATGTATCAGTGGTGAAATTCAAATATTTTTACTAGCGGTTCTGTGGGTGTGGCTTGGTGGGCATGGCTTGGTGGGCATGGCAGGGGAAGGATACTTGCAAAATCTCCATTCCCACCCCACTCTGGGACCAGCCAGAGGTGGTATTTGCCGGTTCTCTGAACTACTCAAAATTTCCGCTACCGGTTCTTTGAACTGCTCAAAATTTCCGCTACCGGTTCTCCAGAACCTGTCAGAACCTGCTGGATTTCACCCCTGGTATGTATGTATGTATGTATGTATGTATGTATGTATGTATGTATGTATGTATGTCCTTCTGGGATAATTGATTTTAATTCACCTGAAGCTATGAGGCTTGAAATAAAATTATTCAAGCTGACCTATCTCATTTCCTGAATAAGTGTAGTTAATTTTTCCCATTTCAGAGAGTTTCAAACTGTAACCAAGTTGAATTCTCAGAAGCTCCAACATTGAATAGAGGATCCCATACATCTTGCAGTTAATAAATTGTGGTCTGCCTAATCTATCTAATATTCCAGTGTCTTGCCTCATTATTCTGGATTGTACAAGAAAAGGAACTCATTTTCTTGAAATTCTCAAAGCCAACACTGTTTGTACACAAGCTGGCATCCCGGCCACTTCTTTTCACCTTGTGTAGCGATGAGCAATAGTTCAGAGATAAAGGGAAATCTTCATGTGGCTTGTAATTTCAGGCATCTTTTCGACAAGCTGAAATTCAGCAGAGCAGCTGCAGGTTAGTGGGAACAATCCTGAATTCAATAGAGAGGGGCTTATCTATTACTATTATTAGCTTGAGGGCTCAATATTCAATGGATGTGTTGACACACAGCAATATGTAGAACATTTAATATCACTTGTATACTCTAGCTGTAAAATGAATATGTTTGTTCTTCTAAACTGCCTTACAAAATAGTAACATGTAAAGGATAACATACCGGGCAACAGTGTGCCTGCTGTTATATATTTTATGTGTTGATGTATAGCCTGTAGGGGAAATCAAGTGGTGGAGTTATTGGCACTGTAGGAAATGTTGCTGAAGCTTTTTCCATGTCATCCCCAGCATGGGGGGGGGGGGGGGCAAGTATTTAGTCAGTCCAACCAGCAGCAGAACAAACACAATGTCAGAGACATTGACCTGAGACTGACTCTGATTTCTGTTTAATGTTAGAAATCTATTCACCCTAACTGAATAGATAGGTTAGGATTTCCTTGGGATGGAGTATTGCAGGCTAACTCTGCCCACTGCCAGGAGTTCGATTCTGACCGGCTCAAGGTTGACTCAGTCTTCCATCCTTCCGAGGTTAGTAAAAGGAGGACCCAGATTGTTGGGGACAATATGCTGACTCTGTAAATCACCCAGAGAGTGCTGTAAAGCACTATGGGGCACTACATAAGTCTTAAGTGCTATTGCTATTATGGCTGTTGCATTAAGTAACACTTTGTAGGAAACGTTTAACAAGACTACTATCAGGGCAGAGTGAGTGAGCATCTTCAATTGTTAAGGGTGTTCTTTGTTATTATCATCTTTACCTGAAAGGAAATTGTTTAGCTGGAGTTTACAGTTCAGTGGGCAAGGTTGGTTGTGCTTTGAATCTTTTTTCCCCCTAAGCTTCCTTTTTTGAGGGAGGAAGTATCATTCTACAATCAGGGTCACCATCCTGTCAAGTAAATACAATATTATTTATTTACTCCCCAGAGTACAAAAAGACAGAAGTAGATTTTGTGCCTCAGGTGCCAAAATAATTTGGATTTAGGAACAAACAAGCAACTTGGTCATGTGTTTGCATGTATTGCTTTGTCTTAGGCTGCAAAGTATTGAATGGTTCTGACTTTACATGAACTACTGCAAAAGCTTATTGGTTTATTTTTTGTTTGCAAAGCTCTTGTGTTAGCTTGAGAGTGGCTTTGTTATATCATGTAACTGAAGGGAGAAAGGTAGCTCAGGAAGCCTACACAGCTAAAGAAATTGCACAGCTGCCTTTTGGCAAGTAACCCAGGTCAACCTTGCCAGGAAAAAAAAAAGGGGGGGGGGGGGGGAGGTTTGAGACTAAGTATAATAAAATCTATTCCCCTTTCCCCCCTCTTCTTTCAGTGTTGGTCTGTAGTCTTGAAATACCTAAACCGGACTGAAAGTGTTCCTTTTCGTTGGTAATAATGAGAACCAATGGTAAGCCGCCCTGAGTCTCCGGAGAAGGGCGGCATATAAATTAAAGCAAAAAAAAAAAAAACCTTGAAATCAATGCTCTCCCTCAACCCATCTGCAAGCAAGTTTTTACGGAGAATTCTCCAGAGTTTACTTTTCTAAAGAATCAGAGCCATTGCTATGGTGGCCTTGCCACCATTAAGGGTTATATAGGAGTGAATCTCTGTGCTGCAGATCTGCAGAAAATTGACAGAAATATTTCCCTGTGGGATGATTTCTTAAGTTAAGTGATCTTGGGCAGGCCTTTATCCCTTTCCCCACAAGGAATGGATGCCCTCATTCTTTGTATGTGATCTTCCCTGCTTTGCATCTCATTGGTATTCTTGGTGAAATAAAGAAAGCATGATCCTAAGAGGTTAATAATGTATATTTATCCTTGTGAATGCCTCTTGCTAGAGAACAGACAGACATGTCCCTTGTTTCACTGGCTCTCATTTTGTCATATCAGCCATGAAATAAGCGGGGAGGAAGAATCTTGCTAAATTATATTTATAGCAATATTTATCTAATTTCTTACTTAATATTCTATAGCACTGGCAGGCACGGCAATAAAATGGGCATTAATATCAATGATTCATAATTTTTACAATGAATTTAATAGAGCATGTCCTCTCTCTTTCAGCTGATGGACAAAGGCTAATTGTCAAGAGATAAACCTCTTCAGATGAGATAAGCATTGAGACACTGGAGCAGAACTAACCTGAATTTAATAATGTGTTATTAAACCTGCAAAACTTTTGTCCTTTTTATACATCACTAAGCTGTTTTTCATACATTAAAAAAAATTTCAAAAATGGAAATGGAATCGTTCTCTTCATTATTTAGTTTTCTTTAAAGAATGTGAATTAAAAAAACATTATTGAGAGACTGGGAGAAATTAGAATAAAGATAATATAATGTCTTTGGAGGAGGATTCACTTAAGGCAACTGTACTAAAGTGAACATATTAATAGTTGAAGAGCCAAGAGTTTTACATGTGGTTATTTAACCAATTGTAAAATAATTTTTGTGGAAGATAACAGATACAATGATACTATTCCAACAGTTTTCTTTTTAGAAAAATCTGGAATCAACTCACCAGTCACAGGATTTTTCAGCTCCTGATATTGACAAATTTGAAAATTGGAAGATGAAAAATGATTAAGATATAATATGAAAATATGGCGATATGAAAAAATTTTCTGAAAAAAAATTAATGAATCTCAAAATATCCTTTTTCATTAATTTGGAGAGAAAATATACATATTGATTTAAAGCATTTATAAAATTACTTTCCATTCAAAATCTCAGGGTCATAGTTAAAACAATTAGGCACAACTTAAAACATTTGGTTAAAACCTTGTTAAAATGCTGATTTACAGTACATTCAGAAAGTATTCAGACACCCTTCACTTTTGTCAATTTTGTTATGCTGAAGCCTGATTTTACAGTTGTTGAAATTCATTTTTTTCTCCTCATTAATCTACACTCAATATCAGGGGTGAAATGCTACCAGTAGTAAAAATGCTACTGGTTTGCCCAACCGGTAGTAAAAAGATGCTTTAAAAAATAAAAAAAAGTTCCAACGATCGCACGGCACAGCTGATCATCGGAACTTTAAAAAGCTTTTTTAAAGCATTTTTTTTACTACCGGTTTGGTAGTAAAAAATAGGTAGTAAAAAATAGGTCGGTGAATAGGTAGTAAAAAAATGCTAAAAAAAGTTTTAAAAAAGGTTCTGATGATCAGCTATGACAATCAGCTGTGCCACACTTTGTGCAAAGTGTGATAGTTTGTTTTTGAGCTCTCTGTGACTCTGTGAGGTTTCTGCTTGTTGCAGGGAACATTTTGTGTGAAGTCCAGTTGTTTTTGCATTGTGTGTGTATCAGTTGTTTAGCTTTTGTGACATTTTGTGTGTAAAGTGTGATAATTTGTTTTTGAGTGCTCTGTGACTCTGTGTGGTTCCTGCATGTTGCAGGGGCCATTTTGTGTGAAGTCCAGCTGCTTTTGCATTGTGTGTGAGGCAGTTGTGTAGTTTTTGTGCTATTTTTGTGTAAAGTGAGATAGTTGGTTTTCCTGATCACATGACCACCAAGCCACGCCCACCCAGTCGCATGACCACTAAACCATGCCCACCAAGCCACACCCACCCAGAACTGATAAGGAAAAAAATTTTGAATTTCACCACTGCTCAATACCCCATAATGACAAAGTGAGAATAGAACTTTAGAAATGTCTGTAAATTTAACATGAAAAAAATAAAATAAAACACTATAAAATACAAGTTATCAACTATAACTAAAAGATGGAGAGGGAGTAGGATGAGTGGGGGGTGGGGAGGTTATATCTGTTACAATATTCATAATATTGTAATAATTACCTCAGACATGACACTACCCCATTGGAGCCCCAAGCCAACTCACAGAGCCAAGTCTTCAAGGTTTTGTGGAAAGTCAAGAGGGTGGAAACTGAGCTGGAGGGCAAGATGTTCCAGAAGCCAGGAGTGACAGCAGAGAAGTCCCGTCTCCTGGATCCTGCCAGCCAGAATTCCATGGTCGATGGAGCCCGCAGCATGTCTCCTCTGCCGGCACGAGTGGAGTGGGCCAATCCCATTAAGAGGAGGTGGTTCCTCATGTATTTCACCTAGTCATGCCATCATTCCATCTGAATTTTCCATTCAGTGGAATTCTACAGTAGGGATCAAACAAAATACATTGACGTGCAGAGTTGCTGTAGAAGTGGCCCTTTAATTACTTTTAGTTGACTACATCATCAGAATAAAGCAGTATAATGAAGATTTTAAAACATGAACCTTCTGGATTTTCCAAGAAATGTCACACATGCCAAATTCAAATTCCCAGCTGGTGAAAGAGCAGAGAATGACACAGCCTTTAACCTTTCAAGTACAACCTTATTAAACATAACATTTACCCAGAGCTTCTCTGCCAACAAATATTAGGTGTTCCTCTGGCTTCTGTACTGATTTATAGCTTCTAAACTAGCTTGATTTCAATTAAGTTATAACAGTAATGTCAGGGATGAGTGAGAATACCACAAATAGCTTAGAAGATTGAATGTTTGTTCTGCTACCAAACCCTCAATACAGATCTGGCTCTGTTTTTCTGATCCTTTTTCCCACTTCACTTTTACCCTACCGATCAACTGGAATCTAGGAAACATAGCCTTGGGAAATTGGGGCTCTTTGGTTAGCCTCTGATGGGTTTTAGAAATAATAGCATATTTGCAGGGAAGAGGGGAAGAGGTAAGCAAATATTAGTTCACTTAAAAATAATGCATAAAATGGTGATCAGGGGAGAGAAAATTATACTAAATACAAAATAGTAACTCAACTCAAAAGCAAATTTTCGAGGACCAAAGGAACATGACAATGTTGTTTTGTTATAATGATCAGCTTTCCAGCTGAAAAAAAACCCAATACAGGCAGCCATCAATTTACGACCGTAATAGAACCCGGTATTATGGTTGTAAGATGTGGTGGTCATTAAATGGTTTACAACATGTAGTCATCTGATCTTACATTTTTTGTGACAGTCATTAAGCGAATTCCATGGTTGTTAAGGTGGTCATTAAATTAGTCTATTCTCTTCAATGGTTATTTTGACAGAAAATCAGAAGTGAAAGCCAGAAACTGGCAAAAACTGCTGAAAATTGTAGTCATGTGACAGCAGATCACTACAAATGCCCATAAATGTGAGTCAGTTGGCAAGTGCCCAAAATGCGGTCATGTGACCATGGGAGTGTGAACGACCATAGGAACTCTGGAACCAGTTCATAAATAGCTCTGGGAAGGTCCGTTTGAGTTGTCACTAAGTGACCAGTTGTTAAGCGAGGACTACCTATACTTCAAATTCTGTTGGACCTATCCCTATAATAATCCCCTGAATGACGCAGTGTTCTGCTTATGTAAAGTATTTAGCTTTTCCTCTGGTCCAAAAATGAAAATGAAAAATGATGCTAATTGAAATATTCCACAGAAGGGGATTTATTTTTTTTCCGAATTCTGCTCTATTGGAAATTATATTTAGTTAAACTGAATTGCTGCAAAGATATAGCTGGAACTGAAGAGGAGATGTCAGCTGGGAAAATATGCTACAGGATCTGGTCTGCTTCTCTCCCACCCATCAATGCAAACACTATTATCTGATATATGAAACTTACAAAAAAATCTCAGAAGTGGCATTTTGTTAGTATTTTTGTACACATGTGGGAAGCTAGTTTTTAAACACAGAGAGACAAAAAACTCACCTGTACTTTAATTTTCTGGCAAGAACTTAATTTTCAAAACCCTCCTGTACTGTATGTTCCTCTTCCTCCCACATTAATATAATCTTATTATTTTGATGTTTTGTAGAGAAGCCAGTAAAAAACCTTTTACATTCAGATGAAGCAAAAAAATGTTTGTGAGGTAAAATTCACAGAAACGAATGTATTTTGGTGACAGTAACAATTACTTTCCTCTTGAGAAAAAGATAGAAAACAAACTGTATTCTTGTACTGTTCCTTTTTTGTAATCTTTCTTTGAAATTCAACCCAGAACTAAAATTCACATTTCCAATTTGTAGCTTGGTACCTTGAATAATTACATCAGACTGGCGGTTAAGATATAATCAATACCACTTTAATCAATGTAGAAAATCAATATCATACTTGATATTGGTAGCATCTCAGTAGTATAGAAAAACCATTTCTCAATTGCACATATTCAAACGTGCAATGTGACCTTTGCAAGATAATGGGAATGAAAATGGATTTAAAAATCAAGTTGCCATTTAGCCATGTGAGGAAGGCCATTGGAAATAAATATTGGGATATTTCCTCTGTGATTTGAGAACATGAGAACATGTTTGAACATTTTTTCTTCTGTGACTTGAGAAACGTTCAGCTTCACAAATTCATAAGCATTGGAGGTGGCAGAAACATCCACTGAATCAGAGGTGGGTTTCAGCAGGTTCTGACCAGTTCTGGAGAACCGGTAGCGGACATTTTGAGTAATTCAGAGAACCGGTAGTAAAAAGTCTGACTGGCCCCGGCCCCATCAATTTTCTGCCTCCCAAGTCCCAGTTGATCGGGAGGAAATGGGGATTTTGCAGTATCCTTCCCCATCAAGCCATGCCCACCAAGCCATGCCATGCCACGCCCACCAAGCAATACCCACAGAACTGGTAGTAAAAATTTTTGAAACTCATCACTGCACTGAATCCAGAATTCTTGTCAGAATCATGAAACATACAAGGTGAGGTAGTGGTGGGCTGCTGCCAGTTGTAACAACCGGAACCAAAAATGTGAGTGCATGCATGTATGTGTCATCAAAAACCCGGTGATTATATAGGATGTGATAGCACCAGGTTGGGTGGGCGGGGCAGCCACTGGTTAGAACTACTGGTTTGCCTGAACCGGTCCAAACCAGCAGCAACCCACCACTAATGTGAGGATGTAATGCAAGCTCTGCCATTTATATATGAGAGGGTACAGTGTACAGATTGGCTATACCGGTGTGCTCAATTCTTGGAAAGCAAAGAACCTTTACATGTTCTTCTTAAAATCATTGGTTGAATTTAAGAAAGATTGGTTACCTTGGTTCAATAGGCTTGCCATACCTGCTCCCTGGCCTCTTCACCAGTTTTTAAAACTATCCTGTTTACCAGAATAAAGGAAAGATGGCTTAGATGCAGTGGAATAGGAGACAGATCCTTCTCACACACAACAGATCAAGAGAGATGCTAGACAGGAGTATGGCCTGTTCTGTTCTCACTCTCAAAGTATGTGGATAGTGACCAAGGGTGGTATTCACTTACCTTCTCT